TGTAAATGATGCTTCGTATGTATTACCGAGAAGTTTTAAAATATATATCAAAACATGTACTATCTATACAAGTGTAAAACTTTTACGCTCATATCTATAAGATTATAAGAAAATAATATAGATTGACAGATATAAAAACATAAACTGCAGTTTTCTTTCACAATTCATATCATAATGCCATATACAGTGAAAAGAAAAGCATAATAAATTAAATATATTATAGATTAAAAATACGGATTAAATATGCTAAAAAAACATGTATATATATAGTTCTTGTATTAAATATATGTTTACATTTAATAAATATTTAATTAGTGATATTCAAACAAATATTTATTAAAAATTTAGTAATATTTTTTTTAAATAAAATAAATTAAATAATATAAATCAAATAAAAATGTTTTTAGTGTACAATTTGCTCGAAATTCGAAAACAATTAAAGACTTGTAAATACATCTATATAATTTCTATAAATCGTATGTCAATTTTCATGAAGATGTTAGATAGAATTTTATCACGTGATTATTATGTGATATTCAATAAACTCAAGAAATGCTATTATGTGTACATTCTGCTCATGACATTGTCACGTGCAATATGATCACAAAAGGAAAACTTTAATCAGACTTTGATCAGACTCTGATCAGTCTCTTTAATATTAACTGTATAGGTATTATTATGATTAGCTCTAATCGATGAATAAATATTTCTGACAATGAGTGCTAAGTAAACTTACACTCGTAAAAAATTAATGTATGTTCAATGCATTATTTAGTTTCTAGTATAAGAAAATTTCACAGTGATAGCAAAGCCGCGGCAATGGTGTCACGGGTAAAGTCATAGCTAATGCCAGACTTTCTACAAACGATGACCAAGACCGAAAGGCGGGACGTGCTTCGCGTAAAATTGCACTGGCAATTCTTTCCAAATTCACTCTTTCGAGTGCTACTTTGCGCCTCGATGCGCACGTGATCGCTTCTTTCGCCAATCATTTCTTTTGCGTTCATTTTTTTTTAACAGATCGCAATCATATATCCGCAATCATATGAGAAATTCTGAATAATAAAATTGCGAAATGTATACATACGTACCTTTCATAATCGATGCATATGTGTAATTACTAATTATACATATTATAATTATAATTATGCAAAATATATATATGTTAACTTAACTTCTTTTATTTGACATTATACCTTGTCTTTTTTTTACCTTCGTCTTTAATTTTGTTTTGTAGCAAATGCAATATACTTTTTTGGATATATAATAAAACAGTATATTAATATTATTAATAATATTTAATAAGTATTTAATATTATATATATTTTTAAATTAATAATTTATATATACACACACACATATATTTATATATATATATATATATGTACCGCATTATACAAAAAAAAAAGATTAAATAATCATTAAAAACAAATAAAAATGTAAGTAATATGCATAATTAATATTGTAAAAAATTAATATATGCATGTATATTTTTTTTTATTGTTGTATATTTTTTCAGATATATTTCAGATATAATTATGTATAATAATGATATATATACATACATACAGATATGAATGGCAGGGGACCAGGGGGATCGCTTACATCACTTTTGCCGACAGTTCGTTTGTGCACAAAAATTGTTACCTGCAGCTCGATTGCCTACATGCACTTTTGCACAAATAAAACTGTTAGAAATTATATTTGCCTACATGTATTATTGCCTACAGCTTGCTTACATGTACTATTCTCTGTTTTAAAAATAGAAATTCTGTTTTTTAAACACAAATTTTCTGCTTTAAAAACACGAATTCTCTGTTTTAAAATTCTGCTTTGAAAATACAAATTATTTTCTTACTTAACTTTAATTTTATATTTGTGCACAATCAAGCTGTAGACAATAATACCTATAGGGTAGACAATAAGTATGTAGCCAATAATACATATAAGCAAATATGACTTCATTTCTGAAATTTTTATTTGCAAAAATGTATGTAAGCAATTGAGCTGTAGGCAATAATTTTTGTGTCTAAACGGACTGTCGACAGAAGTGACAAACGATACAAAAGGCAATCGATTTGTTGGTAACAGGAGTCATCTCATATATTAAAATTATAACTACACATGTAAGATATAATATATTTTTAATAAATAATTAATAAAAGATCTTATAAAGGAATTAAAAAAAAAATTAATTTTAAAAAATCAATAAAAGCTGGAGGAGTAAAAAGTTCGTATACATTATTACTTTGTTGCTATAAAATTTGATATATATTTTTTACATAAAAAATATTCAAATTGGTAAATTATATTTAAAATTTATTATTTGTTTTCATATAAATTTCAAAGAAAAAAATTTTGCAAAAAAAGATTTTGCTGTTCGCTGTTGCTTAATTTTGTTGAAAATGTAAATATTATTAAGAGGAAAACATACTAAAAATATCGGATACTTTAGTATGGAAAATACATGTTTATATCCATAAATCATATAGATAATTTAATGTTACATGCGAAATCAGAAATAATTCAAGTTCCATTGGGTTCTACATCACCTTTGTCTTACTAAATTAATGAAATATATTTATGAGTGTTGGAATATACGCCCCTTATTAATTCTTACAATTAGTTAAAGGCAGTAAAGCTATATTCAATTTTTTATAATGTAATATTTGCATCTGTAAAAAGTGTATATAATTAAAAAACATTATTTATCTCAAATTTATTGATCTTCCACATATACAGAGAACTCTGAAAAATATTAGAGTCTGAATACAAACACGGCGCATTCGATTAGGAAATTTCTAGTCATTAATGACAGCGAAGGTATAATTATTGCACAGTTACAAGTGTATAAGCTGTCCGACTTGGCGTGCACTGTACTTCATACAAACTACAGTTTCGACATTCGTCACATTTTACAAATGTACCTGTACGACTGGTACTGTTATCTGACTAGAGAAACTGCAAACACGAAATACATGTGTAACGAAATACACATTCCTCCTCTGAGATATCTCAGATTTTCATTATTCTTTCGTTTTGTGATTGCGCACAACAATATTATCCTCAAGCTTAATCTACAGTGTGCTCTTTGTTTCTTGTTAATTGGTTATAGAAGAGATTCAGAACTTCTTTGTTCTGCAATCAATTAAGAATCATGGCACACAAAGAAACTTAAACAGTTAAATATAAACAAGCAATTTAATTAGTCAATTAATAATTAATTAGTCAATCACAGTAGAGACTGTGAAGTCGTAACGTAAACAGTAGCAAATCTAACATGTTGTTTACGACCTGCTGCTTAATTTGTTTATATATAGAATTATTATATCTGAAAAATCACACAAGATATATATATATATATACATTTTAAAAAACAATAATAAATCCGGAGACGGAAAGAGGTGATATAATTATTTTAAGCATTAAATGTAGATGTTTAATAAAATAAAATTTCTAGAACATAATTTTTATTAACGATTCTGATTAATATAATTTTATAAATATAAAATTTTAATTAATGGTACGAAGTTTTACCTCAAAAATAGTATTGCTGGTAACTCTATTTGTGTGCTACACAGAGAAAAAAATTTCTTCGGATTTAATAAATTTTATTGTATCCAAATAAATTTGTTATTTAGAGTGATCTAAACAAACCAATGTTTGAATCAATAAGTGCAATTGTTTGAATTTGAAATAATGTATATCTTTGTCTTAAATACATTATTTATTTGAACAGGCAATGTCTAGGTTTGGCATTCGCGTGATGAAACATGGCACAAACATAATTAATATAGCACATAATACTGCTCGTTTAATTTCGTTGTTATACATATAAACTATTATTTTCGTAATTTCGGCCAAAAAAATGTAATGGTTATTCTAAGAAAACAATTTACATGGAACAACATCTATCCAATTTTGCCATTTTCAAATAATTTGTTTGTATTCATTATAGTAAAATAATATATTATTGAGAGAAAGATATTACTTCAAATAATAATGTTATTTCTGTTAAACAATAGTGATTTCTCGAATAAAACAACAAAATAATATTTTGTACAAGCATATGTTATTTTATAATAAAACAAATTTTAATCAAATAAACACTAATAAATCCAAAGAAACGTTTTTCTTTATGATATGATTCTAACTGAAAAATGTGTCTTATGAAAAAAACGGACAAATGTAATATAGCTTATAACGATCATGAGGAAAGTCTAATACAAAAAAGTACATCTACGAAGCATTGCGCAAAGCATAACATGTTTTTCACTTGGCCAAAAAAAAAAAAAGAAAGAAGCTTGCACTTTTTGCATTCAGAATTTTTCTTTTTTTCTTCAATACTTGTACATATATATTCTTTAAAACTCAGAGTGAATTATCATTCTAAAGAGTAAAATCTCATTCTTAAAGTTTGAAAATTGAGCCACTCTTTTTCAAGACTAACTTAATTTTCACTCTTTAGAAATAGATTCCACTTTAAAGAATTTAAAGAGTATTTATCTTGTGCAAAAATTTTTGGGAATCAAACAACGCGAACAAGATTCAATCTAAACATAATACCACAGCTTTCGTGTAGACTGTAGAACGCTTCGAAATGGAGCACATTTACGAACGCACGCAAGTTTCGCGATCCATCGTTCGTCGAGCGGCTTCTTTACACGCAGACCGTTTTATTGTGGAAAAGTTTCGTCAAGGCCTTATCGTACGTGGCCGGGATTATGTTGCAATAGTATTAAAACGCGATTTTATTTAGCTCGCCCAATCATATTGCTCCAAAATTGACTAATCGACTTCGCGAGCGGCCATAGGAACGAAAACAAATTTTCGACTCGTAGTATGCGGTATCCACATACTCGGTGCAAAAATGTGGTTGCGCGACTTGCCTCGAGATGCGGTTCTAACGAAAGGAACGAGTCTCGAAATTGGACAAACACGTTTCGACATCGAGCAAGAAGTAGATAAATATATTAAAATGAGGAAATTTCACAACTTACCTGGCGGGATCCACGTTCGGCATGTCCCCGTAGTTCATTTTGCTTATGTCAGCGTAGTCTGCGAGTGCACGCGCACCTGACTGTCACTAATGACAGATGAGAAAGAGAGAGAGGAATCGGAGGACGGTCGCGTGTCGACTGCGAGAGCTCCGAAAAGATGACAGACCGCAATAGCCGGGTGAAAGGGAGAGAAACGAACGGATCAATTCGCAACTCGCCGCTCGTATCTCTGCGTGAGAGAAATGTGAGAGAACGAGGATGAAAACGATTGTCACAAGGGCTGGACGAGCTTGGTATCACACTTATACGGAGCATCGCCGATCGGAACTGGCAGGAACTGCGGCGGTAGCGGCACCGTACCTCTCGCCCCTCCCAATTTCTCTTTCTCTCTCTCTCCGTCTCATCGGTCGCGCGGCTCGCGCGCCAAGTACGACGAATTTTGATAAGGACTCCGGTCCCGTGTCTTTATCACGCCACGCCACGCCACGCCACGCGTTGCATTCACGCGTTAATGAGATGGACGAGATGGACGATGCGCACGGAACTCACACCTCTCCAGCCTCCCGGCTCGAGACAGATCACGCAGCCGAGCGGTGACAGGCGGTAGTAGCGGCACCCGCACCCCGCACCCCGCACCTCCCGACCAGCTGGTCGTACCTCCCACCACCTCTCTCATGTCGGACCACAATCCGTGAGCGCGATTGGCTGTCGAGAAACCACGCGAGCTCCTCGTTTCCTCTCTGTCGGCATCGACGCCTTTTTCGCTCCTTTTCCACGTATGAGCTCGATTCATGTCATATTATATCAGTAATTATATCAGTACGGCAACCGTCAACGGATGGGTTCACGTTGGATCGACGGAACGATATTTAGCTGTAATTGATATATTGATATTGATATTCGTGCTAATCGTTATCGACGTGAGCCGGCATCGATAATAATTAACGTAATAGAGGTGAAGTAACGATCGATATATGATCTTGACACGGTCTCGATACTCGTAATATCCAATAAATATGTAACAATAATATTCGAGAAAACAGGAGTCCAAATTCGGGACTAAAACAGTTTATAAGACGTCTGAAAGATATCTTTGCAGACATTTTTCGTGAGAACTACCTAAAAGATATCTAATTCTCATTTCTACCAATATAGTTTAATTTTAATCTTTTGATTCAACGAACTCTTCGTCTTTTTCTCATTCTAAAAATTAGAAAAAATAAAGAGCAAGTTAAACTGAGATTAAAGTTGATCTACATTGATAGAAACGGACATAAGAGGTGTCTTATGTCATGATTTTGGACTTCGTGAGATTACATCAATATTATATAATTTTTCAATAATATAATATATAGATTATGTATAATATAACACACGTTATGTACAATTATATATTCTTGAATAGGAAATTACATACCCAGCAAATATACTAACAACAATAATTGTTATCTGTCCGTTACAATTTTCTCAACGTTACTAATTAATTTGACATATAATTTAATATATAATAGTTGCATAACATGTTATATTTTTGAAGGAAATTATAACTAAAGTCATATTATTGCAATTTTTTTAGTTAGGGTTTGCTGGATAATATTAATTATGTTACTGTTAGTTTACTGGGTATATCAACTATTATAAATAAATCGCCTATATTCACTATCGCCATTATTATAAAAAATAATAAAAATTTATAATTCTTTTAATATAAAACTATAATCTTCCATTTTTTTTTAAATATATATAAAATTTGTGAAAAATTCTTCCCTACTTATCATATATATAATAAAAGTGCGTTTATAGTTTAATTTTTCACTCGCTTTTGTATTATGCTTTTTTCCACGTTTCTTCAATTATTTTTCTAATAGTAAAACAACAACCGAGATACTAAAACTAATAAAACTTATCTAATTTATTCTAATTTATTCTTCTCACCTAATTTATTCTATTTATTTTGGAGATATTGAAATAAATTGAGCGAGAATAAAATCTTTATTTCAATTACTCACAAAAACAAAATATCTCTTCTACGTAGAATATTTGTAAATAAACGAAAAAAAAATTTTAACTCTAACATTGAATCTTATTATTTGAATATAATAAGGCCCAAATAAAAAAATAAATTAAAAATGACAAAAATCATAAAAAGAAAATCCCTTAGGAATTTTTTTACTCTATTAAACATCACAGTTATCTTTAATTTGGTCTGTATTTAATTTTTTAATCTTTTGAAATTTCTAGCAATTTGAATGAAATTTTAGCTTTTTAAAAATTAGCAGCATCGGAAACCGTTATCTTCTAATATGTATGCTTCACACATAACAAACAAATAATAATAACCGTAATAATAATTACATAAATGGGTCTTATTTAATAAAAGTTTATTGTTTCTAGAAAAATATACTTATTTATATTTAAAGAAATCGATTTATTTATTATTTTTCCATAGCTAAAAAATTGAATATAATATTACGATATATTATAATAATCAAAATAATGTGTGCTAAGTGAACTTTGCAGCGAATTGTTATAAAAATATCTCGTACACATTTTGTCACAAGTATTTGTTGCATTAAATGTGTTGCTGCCGATTGCAATTCTTTTTTTACAATATATCTTTTAAGCATATACTCTAGATGTAAAGCGCATTTTTAAATAATAAATTTAAAAATGAGTTTTATTTAGTACTGGGCCTTATTCGATTTAAAGTACCTTATTAAATTAGTTTCATATACAAACATTTAATTTTATATTAGATCCATGCATCAATTTGGTAAATATATTCGACATCTATCGATGAGCCATTATATACTCTAAATGGAATATTATTATTATTATTATTATTATTATTATTATTAAAATGAAAATGCTTCTAGTATAGAATAATTTTAGCAATATTACAACATTTGAACTATATTATAGAAATATTGAAACGAATATTTTTTATTATATGAATTGATAGATTTACTAATTTTCGTTAGTCACTATAAATATAGCGTGATTCGCTTTACAACGCGTCATCAGACGTAATTGACAGAGTATGAGATGTCCTCATTCAATTGACACAAACTAAAAGTAACATAACATCGATGTCATAATTTTACTCAACAATATAACAATTACATTGTTAAATGTGAAATTATAACATTGTTGCGTTACTTTCAGTTGATGTTGACTGGGCATATAATGCAGAATATTATAATAATGTTATAACAAAATGTTGTAATGTTCCTGTGATGTAGCTGGAATAGTCTAATATTGCTTTAAAGTTGCTACTATAGATATTTTATAGGTATTCTGTCTTGTACGAATTACGTACGATGTATACTAATATTAAATCGATTACTAAATCGATCGTAGGCGATACTTATAATTAGTAATAGTAATTTTAGAAACAAATGTGACATTGATTTGGTGATGCAACAATATATCTTATATATCTTATTGATCCCTTAATTTCTTACACATGAGATATTCCGTTATTGCGTTATATTTCTTATTAAACATGATAGCAAGTAAAATTTTATTTTGAAATTTTTATTGAGTTCTTTTATAAACAGTAATTACTAGTATAAGTTTTATTAAAAATGTATAAGTTTTTATTAAAAATTTGAAGCTTACGTAATATTTGTAACATCATCGATTATAAACATAATAAAAAAAATAAAATTAGTTGCTTAGTAAAAACATCAACTGTGCAGCGTAAATAATGGAGCGATCGATATCTACACGTATAATTATGTTACTTTGAGAGTGCGAACTCTACTTGCTAACTTTAATCACTTATAATGCTAAAATTATCGTGACTTTGATATTTTCGTGTGTTAAGACTTTTGACTCTAATTAATCTTTAGAATGTTTGTAAATACGTAAAATATCAAATAAATTGTTTTAACTGCGTATTTGATATTTTATGTAACAGTACATATTTGCAAACATGTTTCTATCACAAAATATAAAATTATGAAACCTTTTCTTTTAAATAATGTAACTATCAAAGATCTTATGCAAAAATTGATGAAAAATATAATATTTCACGATCGAAATGTAACCACTCAAGCAAAACAACAAGTCAAAATGATATTAAAATGAATCGGAAATGATTAAAAAATGACTTTTAATGGTCATTTTAGAATCATTTTAATATCATACTGCAGAATCATTTTAATATATAATATTATAATGACTTGTTGTTCTGCTTGGACAGATCCTAATTGAGATAATATTTTTCACAATAAATTATTTGCAGTCTTTGAAGATAATTATTAGCATCAATATAATTAAATTATTTGTAAATTTAATTTGTGATATTACAATTTCAATTTTAGTTTGAATATCGTTTCAAGATCAAAAATTAAATCCACGCGCAATTTAAATAGAATTGAATGTGTGTGTGTGTGTGTGTGTGTGTGTGTGTGTGTGTATGTGTGTACAATTCACACAAAGATGTTATTGTAAAACCATTAAGATCTAGCTAAAAAACTACTAAAGCACTTTCCTAGAAATTTTATATAATTGAAATTGTAAAGTACAATAAAATGAAATAGAAGGGCTCGAGGGAATAGAAGCTGTTTAAAGTGCGCTGATTGTCCAAAAAAAATCTCTCAATATTTATAAATTAATTTATTGAAAAGATGGAAAAACACAACGATAATCGTTAAACGATAAATAATTCGTAGATGAATGATTCGTATATGAATAATTTCAATTAGTTTTCTAATCTTCTTCAGCGGTAATAGTAAACGCAAAAAATTACATACTTTGTGTTCCTACGCACAAAAATGATTTACATTTTTTTGTGTGCATAGAAATATAAAGTAATTTTTTGTCAAAATGGCGTAGCTTGTTAGCAGGGTATTCAAATTTTTGAAATTGTAAATTTTTGTAGATTGTTTTATTTTAGAAATATATATTATGCAATATATTTGCATTATTAATGTTATTTTAATAATATTTACCATAAACTTAATACAAATGATAAATGAATAGTGCGTCTGTTAATATTGATAAAATATATGTAAAAAAAGAAGAGATTCAAAAATATATAATACATTTGTTCATAGCTGAATTTTTGAGAATTAATAATTAGTCGCAATTAATTTTTTATTGCATTTAATGCAGTAAAATTATTATTTTTGTTAAAATATATTATGTAATACATTTGCATTATCAATATTATTTTAATAATATTAATATTTACCGTAAACTTGATACAAATGTTGAATAGATAACGCGCATTGTTAGTATTAACAAAATATACATAAAAAAAGAAG